TCGATGAAAAGACGTTAGGACGATACGAACGACGTATTTCAAGATGATTCTTCCTCGTACTTTCTGTACGAAGTGCGAATAATTTAGTGGTAGGAAATTTCTGTTAAAGATCGTACGATTTACTTACGGTTTCTTGCAACATACGCGAGAAACTACCAGCAATAAATTTCACACTCTGTATCCTCTGAGCCAAGAATCTGATTATTTGTCTGGTAAGTAACGCGGCTTTTCCAAAAATTATGTCGAAAGCGATGCAACCTATCGCGATATATCGATTGCTAATTCCACGAGATTAACCCCTTAACCCACATCGTAGTGATCGGGCCAAACGTAAATATTACGGGCATAGCCCGTAGTAGATGATCGGACCAAACGTAAATATTACGGGCGTAGCCCACAGTACGATGATCGGGCCAAATATAATATACAGGGTGGTTGGTAACTAGTGGTACAATCGGAAAGGGGGTGACTCTACGCGAAAAAGGAAGTCGAAAATATAGAATAAAAATTTTTGTTTTCGAGAAAATCGACTTTGAATCTTCGCTCGGTACGCGTGCACTTTTTCACGTCTCGTTATAACGGATCTCACTGTAGATCCGTTTAAAAAAATTTTAAAAAAATTTTAAAAATTTTTAAAAAAGAAATTAAAAAAATTGTTTATAATATAATAATATAATATAATATATAATAACTTGTTTACATTTTCGGCCCAAAATTCTCGAACGTAAATCGTAGGTTAAAGGGTTAACTGCACACGATCACGATACAAAACGATGTATTCCGAAACATTAAGAAAGGTATGAAAAATAAAAAGGTAAACTAAAAATGTGCAATTACGATCATTTGGCTGCGACTACTGTCGCAATATCCACAGTTGGCACGCTCGTAAAAGGGAAGATGGAAAACCTGATCGGACAGGAAAATCTTCTCTTTCGGCGCGTGTCGCGTATTTACCCGAGTTTTCAGCGATCGACGAGACAGATGGTCGGAGTGGCGCGACAATTTGCGCTCGTTCGACGTGAAAAGACACGAAGACTCGCGAGTCGAACTTCACACGCGATATGAATCACTGTTCGCGTACAAGACGCGCGTTCAATTAGGTCGTGGCGAAGGAAGCTTTCACTGTAAAGCTTCGTCGATCGATAGTACGCCGCGAAAGCACAATAAGATGATTTCTAGCCGCCTTTATCGTTGTCAACGCCCGTTCAACGGTGTACTTAAGACACGTTCCTCTGGCAAGCAATCGCGGCTTCATGCTTCCTTCGTCCTCTGGATCGTTCGATATTTTCCACCACTCGCGGCATTCTACCTGAGAACTTGAGCACTTGCAGCATTCTACTCGCAAACGAGCGGAGATAATTATCCCACTGTCGCCTTTGTCGTTGTTTTCCATTGTTATTTCTGATAGATCGCTTTGACAGACTACGTCTGCTTCAGCGTGCAAACTCTCCAACGTACGCACGGTAATAATGCTCGTACGTGCGTCTACTAGTTTCTTGCGTTTGCGTATCTTATAGACGGTGAATCGACGATGTTGAAAATTGTTGGAAGCAGATGAAAGCACGAGGCAAATACGATTTGTCATTCCTGACGGTAGGCGAAGTGGAATCGTATCGAAGGTACAATTGCGAATAAGAAAGCAGTGGAGATGTGAGTAACGATAGGCGTAGTACGAAATATACGTGGCGATAAAAGTTATATGTCAACCGTTCGAGCCACGCAATCGCCCTAAGATTAGAAAACATCCGTTGTTATTTCGCGGGATTTTGTATGTCGATTTTTTGGTGATCGAGAGAAACGTCAAGAAGCTCGACCTCCTCTGTCAATAGCGATGGAAACGTCCAGTAATATTATCCCGTGGACTTCGAACTATTTTCGAATTAGACTACGAGAATTAGAATAAGAATTGGAATGTTCTATTTTTCGCTGAAAACTTCGTAGTCTAATTTGTATTTTATTGTCTTTTCGCGCAGAAGACCTCTCACCGTATACTTGATATTTATTTAAACTTTTCAACGATTTCTGCCCGGACGACTGCAACGCAGTGGTTAGCGTAATTGGTTACGAACGCTGCAGACTCAGGTTCGAATCCTGGCATTCATAGTCCTGTTTTTCACGATTCCTAGACAAGAAGAAGGGAGCGGTCCGAATGGTTGGTAGGAAAATCCTCCCATCCCGGTTGGAAATAAAAATCTTATACCGCGGCAGCAAGCACGAACTATCCACCTCAAACATCTTTGTATTAACGCTAAAGTTTTATTTGTCATCAAACTGACTTTACGAATACCATAGGCGTCAACGTTTTACGCGCAAAGCTCTGCGTGCGTTTGAATTAGCGCACGTGACACGGTATAAAGTCTACTTTTAATTTCACCATCGGAGACGTTTCAGTTTGAGTTTTATAGAACCATATACGTAGCTATATACGTAGAAAGACGATTCGTTCGAATACATAACTCTTAACTTGCTTCGAATGAGCTTGGAATTGTTTCAGAGATCAAGTTTATGGTAGAATAGCAGAGATTGAGATTCGTTTGTCATCGCCAACCGAATGATGATCCTTCTCGTACAGAGAGTCAGATAGGCATAAGATACGCTCAGGGTGAAAAGTTACTCTACCACGAAGTTTTATCTTCTGCAGGAACGAAATATGATCTTCTGGTGAAGCTCGTCCGTCAATTTCTTGCGCTGACATTTTACAAGTTTTCATAAACTTATACCTTCCATCGCGTACCTTCCAACTACGCATTTTTTAACTATGACACTTTCGATTTAAAAATATCAAGAGCCAAACAACTGTTGTCAGTTTTCGATGCTTCGACGATTCGATTAGCAAAGGAAATATTCCAAACAAAAGAGACAACGTACGATATGGAAATAATCGACGCTGTGAATGATTTCCAGTTTACCAATTAATGCACTGCACAAGCTACATTTTCACGTGCTTTCGACGGATATATCCTTTGAACCGGTTCATCAAACTAACCGTCATGATCGAATAATAACGAAATTTATCGACAACGTCATCGACGACGAAGCTTAGCCAAACAAACAGCTGTGCTTTTAACATTTTCAAATGTCCAATCGAAAATCATTCCAACTACATATACATAATACAATACCAAGCATTTCACAGGTTGCCTTTATTAAATGCCCCTAATTTCCATATATTTTCTCACATTTCGAACGTTACCAATCCGTCGCTATCGTGACAATGCCGATGAAATTTCTAAATGTACAAGTATCACGTAAATAACATATTCGAGTGTTACGTATCTACAAGTGTTCCAACGCTTTTGCGAGCCAGTTTACGTTGTATACAAACACGATCGTGTGGTGGAAACCGCATTCACCGGTCTGTGATTGGAAATGCGCACGGAACGTAGTGTTTTCCGCGGCTATGCTGGAACGAGTTTGAATTTCGTGCCTGAAAAGATTCAATTACGTCGGGGGAATCTTGCAGAACCTAGCAGAGAGAGAGAGAGAGAGAGAGAGGGAGCCGAAACGAGAGCACGTACCGTGTCACGTACCCTCCGTTCTTTTATTTTCCATCTCATTTTTAACCAAAGGAACGCAACACCTTGTTGCGCGTTTTCCCACCAAACTTCTCTTCGCGTTCGCCCTACCTAATTATCGAATGGGAGCTGCTTGCCCTCGCGAAAGAATAAACGCACGTCTGGGGAAAACAATCGCGACAACGCGCGGCTGCCTGAAAATCTGCTTCCCCGGAAATGGGAGAACTTTGCTCGCAGCGTTATAGCGTGACTTGCTACGAATCGCACGATTATGACTGTAGGAAATCGAATTTCGACTATACGCGTTAACGAAATAACTAACTATACGAGAAGTTGGACCGTCACGAGAGATAATAGGACGAGCTACTGTGATCTTGTTCATTTGTTGGAAACGACAGATGCAGCAAGGAGTATAAGCTAATTTGGAATTTCTTCCTTCGTGTTAGAACCGCATCGCGCGTCAAGAAAAATTGAACTGAACGTTAAATATTCGAAACATAATTTAAAGGTTTCTAGAGTCTGGAACGAGTTTTAAGAAAAAAGGACTTTATCTTAGATGACCGAATAAACGAAGAGCATCGAACAGGTTACGTTGCAGGAACTTGGCAATTAGGAAATCCTGCGGATAAATCCAGGGATTCGTCGCGGATTCGTAGGGTTCGCGCCAAGCTACTATTTAAGAACATCGACTCGAAGAAATCCGCAGACGTGAGTCTGAGATTCGTTCCGTACCGCTTGGCGCTCCTGAATACAGATTACTCTCAGTCTAGAGTTGTTAAATCCTAAATAGTATCATCTCGTGGTCGAGCAATAAGACAGAGCACTTTGTAGCTTACGCAGGCCGCGTGTTTCCTAATACCCAGTGTCCCAGTGCCATGTGACCAGAATTAGACGATCCTTGGAGAATGCAACTCGCGCTAAATTATAACTGCGAACGGGAACCTTGGCTTCTCTGAATCCAAATTTCGCCAGAAATCGCATCGTCCCAAAGATTTAAATCCTCCCAAGCTAACAACTATATCAAGTATTTTATACTACTCATTGCTATTATATATTCGGATTATCTTATGTTATTTGTAATTGCTAAACTACAGGTATTTATGCAAATTCATATTTTTATGAATATAACTTAGAAAATGGAAATTAGGCAGAAAATTGACATATCCACTGGGTGGATATTAAATACTCTGGATATTTTTGCATTGTATAGCATAATATAGCATTCTGTTCATTTATGTATCTTGGAATTTTCCACAGATACGTAAAAATTCACAATCTGACAGTCGAATATCCGATCTTCCTGATTCGTCCCAAACATCTTCGATTCTCCGCCCTATGCCGTTTCTAAAACGATAGTTGAATGTTTCCTTCGAAGAAGATTTCTGTCTCTGCGTATTCACGATATATCGGGAGAACAGAAAATCAAATCACGACAAAGATTTCATCGTTTTTGGTAAGATACGATTCGTCATATTCGTTTTGTAGCTCCAGACATCAGGATTCTGGACGAAGCTAGACACGAACTACGTGATCGTTACTACAAAACCGGAAGCGGTATCGAGCTAGCTTGCGTTGCTCGACCTTCTTGTCCCGACTCCAGGATACCGCACCCTGTCTGGAGGAAAAATGGTGAAACGTTGCCGGATCATGTCAACGTTTATCACATTAATGGGTGAGCATATAGAGTAGCAAAACGGTCGATCGAACAGAACTACGATAGATAACCGACGTTCCGATTTACCTTCGTTCATCGATGTGCAATTGTGTCCACGTATCACTGAACACGTAACGTTTTATCGGCTCGTCTGCCTGCCGAAAGCTGTATTCCCTTCACCTATGTCCTTTCTGGATAACGAGCGAACCGTTTAATCTCCCTGGAGGCGTTTTGCGAGACGCTCGGTGCTCTTGCAATCGCTACTTCCATTTCTACTTGTCGCTTCCGCCGCCGCCTTCACATACGTTCCTTATCTTGTCCTTTTTGATAATTTATGTTTTCGATGGCACTGAGCACAAGTTGCAAAGTTTCGATCAACTTTGTCAAGGTATAGACGAAGAATTTGATCGCGCGATATCGGTACGTCGATTTAAGTAAATGTGCAATTTTATTAATTGTATCATTTTTCGTATTTTGCCCAATTTTTCCACTCTCGTACATTTTTCCAATTATGTAAATTTTTCAAATCGCAGTTGTTGAACCTACCGTAGCTATAAATTACAATCTGTACGAATAACAAATTCTATATTAACCGATCAAGATACGATACACGTGTTAAGCGAATCTTTATTTGTCGACCGACTGTCCGCCTTTATGATGGCATTCAGTGCGGTTCCATCTGTTTCGCTAGAATCTAAATTACTAGATTAGGAGCCTCGGCTGTCTCGTTAAATGTAACAAATTCATATCCATCGAGCGTTGGCTACAATCTGTATCGCTGCATTTCGGGATACTGCTATGATTTAGTGGCCGATTTTAGGAATCTGGTAACAATATGTATAGTTTCTGCGGTATACATAGTCCACTGTAATTTTGTTGTCGATACTCCATGATCCTACGATCAAACAGCGGAAATATACAAGTACGTCCGATATGTAACGTGACAACTGATTTTTCAGGTCGAACGAAGATCTGGTGACCAAGCTATATATCGAGCAGGCGAAAAAGACTGACAGCGGCGAATACTCATGCTCAGTGAGCCAATTTAGTACCGCCGCGGTGCATATTCACGTCCTGAATGGTAAATTGAATTAAAGGTCATACGTTCAAAATTTAAGTTTCATTGAAAAAGGATTTTTGTTCTACGACGAGTACAGAAAATAGAGGCAACCGCTTGGTAACTGGATAAACGTGGAATAAAGAGGCATAAAATGTCGGGGAACAACCTTTAAAATAGAAAGCCTGATATTTAAACGATCGAAAAGGAGTTTAAAACGAAATTCGTAGATTCGGGAAAAAATGCGCGAGGTTCGTTCGAAATAGCGAATATACATAAATAGAAGATTAATGAAAAATTAAAACGTAGCCACGCTAGGTATTTTCTTGTATTATACAGGATGGTTGATGGTTGGTAACTGGTGGTACAAGCGGAAAGGGGGTGATTCTACGCGAAAAAAGAAGTCGAAAATATAGAATAACAATTTTTCGTTCGAGGCTTTGTTTTTGAGAAAATCGACTTTGAATTTTCGCTCGGTACGCGTGCGCTATATCGCGTCTCGTTATAACGGATCTCGCTGTAGATTTTTAAGAAAATTTAAAAAAGAGAAAAATTAAAAAAAGAAAATTTCTATTCTATATTTTCGACTTCTTTTTTCGCGTAGAATCACCCCCTTTCCGCTTGTACCACCAGTTACCAACCACCCTGTATACAACATATAGTCAAAATTCTAATTGTCACTCAACAAATCAATATTCTTTTCCTTACTTCGATCCACGAGTTTTTTAAGAAATTAAAAAATTACCAAGTATCCACTTGACTTTTTCATTTTTAAAATAAATCGTACATAGAATGTGGAAATGCACGTTGAAGCTTAGGTACATCTTGTAAGTTACACGATCGTCGAATACGTAGCATAAAAACCGTTGCCTTTGGTGAAATTTTTAACAATCGTATAGAATGCGTAATCTCGTTAGTCTATTTGCGAACCAGCTTTAAGTAAACGTCTACAGTATAGTAAACGACAGAGTGGTATTTATTGTCAGACGTCGTCGTTACAAAATTTATCAAAATTAAAGCCAACCATGAAATCAAGGATAACGTAACATCGGATTATGACGAGTCATTTTGTTAAATTTTTAAATAATGTCTTTTAATTAATGCGTTTTAATTAAAAAGGACAGTAATCTGTTATTCGTTTCATTCGTATAATTAAAGATCAAAAACATTCCAATTGGTGCGATGCCAATTTAAAACTTTACTTACTTCAGATCATAGAAGATTAATTACTGTTCCAAAAGTAGAACTTCATGCATAATCGAAGTAATTAATTTCGGCAAGCTTATGGTTACCAAATGAATTGATCGAATCAAGTTTAAAAATGTTTAAGAACTTTCCACTAATTCAAAATTTAATCTTTCAAATGAAATCTTTAAATCCGACCGATACTGCTACAAACTCACTTTCACTTCAATTTGACGAACGTTTTATAAACAAGTTTCTAATCGCGAATATTTACCGTTTGATTTTCATATCTTTATGTATTTTCTTATATTTTCTTCGTCGTAGGTGAGAAGCAAGCAGCAGTTCACCACGATCAATGGAACGCAGCGCGAACGAATCACGAAAAATTAAAAAGTCTATACGTCACAATCGCCAGCCTTGTTTTCCTCCGAACTTGGATGATCAACTCGCCATAAAGTTCATCGAAACATTTTGAGGTTATGATTGCACATTATCTCGCATCGCTCTCTCTTGTGCATATCCGCCAGAAAGCGTTTCTAGTAACGGATCAGTATTACGACGGAAGAAAACTGCCGAATAAATTGTACGCAATAATTTAGTGTGCATTGTATACAATATCGCAAAACCACCTCCGAACGACGTTGTGAATACTAACTTATGTCATTGCAATCCGGCAACAAAGTATATCTCGTGGAAATTTTGTTTTACGAAACCGACCGAACCTAAAAAAATGCATGTTACTATTCGACCATATCGATTTAATGCAACAGACGTGTGAGTTTTGTAATGTTTCGATAGATTGTAACAGAGAATAGAACATGATAAAATGTGATCCACCTAAAACAAATTGCGCCTTTGTCTTTCACGAGGTTTGGCTTATATTGAAATATATCGATTAGTTAATTTAATATCTTCTTGTTATCCTATTTTAATTAACTTGCAAATTATTACAAATCGTTGAAAATTTTCTAATGCTTGTTCGTTTCTACAAGAACTGTTCTTGATAAATGGTTAATGTTACGTGTAAGTGTGTTAGTGTTAAAGCGAATGAGAGGTTGCGTTGTGCGTTTGTTACACGATTTAGGCTATACGATATTCATTTTCCTTTTTAGTGTAATCGCTATCAAAATCGATTTTAGATCGTCAAATACTTGGAATGTTATTCGGTATTCCTGACCGTATCCATTTTTAATCATATAGTAATTGTACCAGTGAATGAATAATTAAGTTGAAACTGTAATAGCAACCGTAACATGCATTTGTTAGGACAAACATGAATGTTCTCGACGAACAACTGCGAATACTAGTAGTTTAAAGATAAGGAATAGTAATAAACGTTCTATTCTTCTCCTCTCGATGGCCTGTACATAAAATACCTTAAATATTGTATAGTCAAGGAAACATTATGCTCGATTGGTCGATCTATTGCGACTTGACATAATTTTACAGGTGTGCAAATTGCTTGCTCTTAAATATGTGTATAATTGCCCGACTTAAATCGACCAGTTTAGCTACGCGCATATGTTCTCAGATAATAAACTATCATTAACTAATTTCATCTAAATTTATTTGCTCAAATCATTCTACCTTCCTAAACATTTGCTTCTCTTGTCGTTACAATTATTTTGATTTCCTCTGTTGCAATATTCTTATCGACTACTTCTAGTAAGAAGCAGCCAGAAGTTTCCAACGTTACCGATTCAGCATAGGATAAGATTACAATGTTTATAGTGGCTCCAATTGACAACCTTTTTGATATAAAATTACAAATAAAGAATAGCACAGAAGAATATCCTATGATCAGGAACGAAATACAGAATCGTTACTCATTCTTCTAACGAAACAACTGTTTGGAGCGAAATGCTCACAGCTCTAAGCACATTATTATAGAAACAAGGAAGGCAGTACAATAGGAATTATTTTTTAATTTAAATAATTACGTGAATATGTTTTCTGTATTTTAGATACTCGTGTGTACTTATGTGTTACTTGTATATACAAGAAAAATAAACAAAATTGTTCCCAAAAACAATATGTCTTTCATTCGGTATGAAGTTTCGAATTGATATTTTTTAAAATCGGAGGATATCCTACTACATTGACTGAATATAAATAGAACACATAATCAACTAATTCCTAAACTGATAAACAAAAGACATAAAAATGAAACGTTACTACTTATGGATAAAATAGATATCTATATTCACTGTGCTCGCTACAAAATTCTACGTAATACAACCAGCCAGCCACCCGTTCAGTTTCAGATCTTTTGTCATACGACATAATTGGCTGATCAAAGGAATAAAAATGCATGCAATTCATTAATATGTAAATGCGAAGAGCATAAAGAAATTTTACCTCGGCCCGGAAGAAGTCATCAGAAATTGGAAGTCATAACGCAATATGGAAGTAGGAGATTGTAAAAAATCTGTAACAGAAAAAGATGGAATTTAATTCAGAGCTTTAATATAGATATAAATATTTAACAGGTTATTTGAACTTGTCGCGGGACAACTGATCATATAATAAAGGAGCGTTCAGACGATTAATATTATTTTCAGTATTGACGACCAATATATATTGTGAATATAGTGCTGCATATTGACAATAATACTGACGATATTGGCAATAATATTGATCGTTTGAACCCTCTTAAGGCCATACTGATTCTCCTTACTACTTACAACTTCTATACTTACGATATAATAGTAGTTCACTTCGAATAAATGAATTCAATCACCAGAAGTTTATTTAATCGGGCACTAACTAAAGTTTTATTTAAATAAACGGAGCACATTCAAACGAACTAATTATATCCGCGCCATGTTATAAATTATAGATGGCGTAATAAAACTTAATGAATCAAATCTCGTACCTCGATTAACAACTAACTTCTCTCTAGTAAGATATCTTGACAACTGGACAGTGAATAGTGAATGTAGAATTTCATATAAAAGTATATGTACAATGTATATCATTTGGGGGCGTTAAGTTTATGTGTTATTTGCTATGTTTTGCTAAAAAGTTACTGTACAGATAATTAACTTTATTTCCTATAAATACAATCCATTACAAACTGTCAAAAATTTCTAATTTATTGACATTTGTTTGAAAGTGCTAATATGTATACATTTCCTGTTAGAAAATACCGTGCCTTAGCTGCAGAACCATAAGCAATTTTTAATGATTTCTGTAGAAAATTTCAACAACACATTGGAGACAAAAAGTATGGAAAACGTTATGGAGGGTGTAAATGGACAATTACAAATAAGATATCAAAAAATTGCCACAGAATATTCAAAAGTAAGAAATATTCAATATATCATTTACATAATCTGGTTTTTGAAAATTTATCTACTAAGAGATGTTTTTATTTTTAATACTATCATCTGTTTGTGAAAAAGAATTATCGCCCTTACTAGTTCGATATTTGTAAATATTTATAAGAAGATCATTATGAAAGAATTTTTTCCTTAGATTCGTGCTCAGGCAAATGTTTTAAAGAGAGCTGTGATTGATGAACAAGCACGTAATGCTGATATACGAGAGCAACTGAAAGAGAAGGAAGTAGAACTTCGCAGAGCCGAACAAGAATTAGACAGTTTGTCATTCCGAAATCAACAACTAACTAAACGTATAACTGTATTACAAGAAGAACTTGACAAAGCACAAAATAAATCTAAAAAGGGAAAGAATAAATTATCGGAAAATAATAGCCAGGTACTAACATCTCCAAATCATATTTTGGATGAAGAATTTCAAAAGAAAATAGTTGAAAATGCCCAGTTATTATCGCAAATCAGTGATAAAGATAGCGAAATTGAAACCTTAAATGAAAGGATACAACAACTAGAATCTAAATTAGATTATTGTGAAAAATGCAAAATTGAATTAGAATGTCAATATCAAAATACTATAGACAAGCTGGAAAGAGAAAGAAATGACTTACAAAAAAAGTTAAATGATAGACAAAAGCAAGAAGAAAATGTATCGTGGTCTAGTAACGAAGGTAAACGAGATGGATACGAATCTGATAATAAGGTAGGACATTCCAATTTCCCAGAGGTAGAACCGTCTCCATTTTCATCGCCATCTGTATCACGTAGATCGTTAAAGTCTATTGGCGAAGGTCATCCTAAGGTACAGGAAGAAAGTAACGACTTTGATTTTTCAAAATCGTGTGACCTAGAAAAAGAAATTAACCATTGGAAGGCACAATATCATATGCTTAAAATAAAATATGATGAGATACAGCAAAAGGCTTGCATAAGTAATGTGCAGATTGAACATGAATCTTTGCAATCTGCAGAAATAAATAATATGGTAATGTTTATTTCAAATTACTTATAAGAATTTTTATTTGAAATAATCTAATCAATAAATGTTTATAGCAGATTGGAAAGTTAACAGTACCTTTAGCGATACCAGAAGAAATTGAAGCTCGAGAAGCAAAAATCCGAGATTATTTTCTACAAGAAATCGACAAATTAATAACAGAAAAACATATTTATCATGTGAAAAATTTAGCTATGGCTGCTAATGTAATTAAATATATTTATGCAATCTATTTGTATGTAAAACTTGATATATTTTTAATCGAGAAATATTTTTTAGAGTGAAGTTCTACAAGTTCATTTAGACACAAGCGAATCAAAGAGAGAAAAATGTGAATCGGCTCTCACAGAAGCACTTTCAAATTGTAATACTTTACAAAAAGATAAAGAGATACAAGAAGGAAATTATAAAGCACAACTCAGTACTATGAGCGAACATCTTGCTAATATGAATGAAAAACTCATTTCACAAACGGAAGAAATACAACAATTAAAATTCCAACTTGTAAATAAGGTAACAATTCCTTATAAAAGTAAATGCTATTATTTTAAATACTCAGCGTATGGTTTAATAATTTTCAGAACAGTAAAAAGGGAAAACAAAAGTGATACAAGTCAGGTTATAAAGTAACGATTATTGACATTCCTACAACAATGTGCTTTAATCAGAATTAGTAATTTGAATTTTGTGTACATATGCAACTTATGCCTGAGAAACAGTAATTATTTTCCGTCATATTTTAACTAATATGCTATGAAAATTTTAAAATTTCTCTTAATGTTATCTTATTTATGAAAGAAATAAGAATTATTATTGGTGTTTTATTTATGAATATTAACAACAAAAATTATAGGTTATGTAGCATCGAAATATACATAATACTGTCATTTATGTACATTTTACAGTCTCATTACATCAACTGATTTTTATTTCATAAGTTCAAACTTCTCCTTGTATTTCATTCAACATGAAGTAAATTAAAATATCTAAGTTGATATTCTCTTAAGTATTTAATATATAATAAATAAAATAATTAAACATACTGGAAAATTTGCTTCTTTTATAAGAGAATCTTAAAATATTCCCATATTTCCGGAATAATAATAAATATATTTTTTCCTTTACTTTATATTGAATTTTATATTTTAATAAATAAAGGTAACTTAACTGAAAGATTATTAATCATTTTAAATGCTCAGTTTTGTGAAATACTTGAAACATTACATTTTCTTTTAATATCTTTCTAAACTCAAACTATGTAGAAAAAATTTCTTTAAACGATTACATCTTATAGATGTGTTATCTTCTATCAAAGTTTTGCAATGGAACCTTCTACTTTATTCCATTACAGTTCATTTCTTCAGGTTGTATTTTTTTATATCTAGCTAGAAATAACCGAATGTCTACACAGCATTATCCATATTGGCATTTTTTTGCATGCCCAGGCATAAAACAATTGGCGGATATGGGAGTTTCACCCCTACAAGCATCGATCCTGTCATGAGGCACACTGTGAATACAGATGTATAATGTTATTATCTAAATGAACCATAAACAGAAAAAACGAACATAATGTGAAAGAAACTTAAAAGAATATAACTCATTTCTTTTCTAAATTTTCACAAACAGAATTTAATCTAAAAATTCACCAAATAAAGCCATATATTTAATTATCATCGATAAAAACGATTTGCCTGCTAAAAAATTACAAGAAACTTTTTCGAATTCAGTGAAAGGAATTGAAGAAATTCAATTCAGGAATGAGAAAGTAGAGTTTTTAACCTTTAAAATGGACCCACTTAGATTATTGTATGATTTTTTTCCCACAGGATTGTAATACTTAGAAGATTGACAACATTTCGACCAAAACTTTCACTCGAAACACAAGAATACATGATTAGAGTTAATTTCTTTTAATTCTATAATACAAATTTATTTTATCTTCTATCACCTAATAATTAAATTGAGACATGTAATATATGTTTTCTAAACTAACATGCACACATGTAACATAATGTTAATTGGACAGATTGTATAAAAATAAGTGGAGAAGATTCTATACTGTAAATATTTCTATCAGCTTCACTTTTTGTTTCACTTTGTGTTCTGATTGTTGTATATTAGTTATTATTTTCCTTGTTTTCATTCTGTAACACATTAATATGAGTATCAAATGAAACATTACTTATAATTATATAAAAGTAATTAAGAAATCAAGAGTATAAGTAATTAAGTATTTACCTTTCTGTATATTGCAGATTCAGATTGAGTATGGGATTGTATCAACTTTGGAGATACATCTAACATTTGTGTAATATTTTCAGTATGAGAATCCATAAATTTACTACTTGAAATAGAGGTATCAAATGTTATATTATCAATTGCAGAAGATACAAGTGTAATGTCAGATAATGCAGTTGAATTTGCAATGCCCTTCATTATTTCACTATTGGTGATTGTGTCATCTTGTATAGACTTATATAAAAACATGATAGACGTATATGAGATAATATTAAGAGTACATAAAATATATTTTATCACATGTATCACTTACATCATCATCTGTTGTTTCAAGAAATTTTCTGCTTTCTCTAAACTTTTTAAGAATTTGTTCATGTGGAGACGTTACCTTAAATTGACGAGGATAGGAAAAGTTTTTCCTTGCTGGAGTTAATCCTAGAAAAAATTCACAAATTAAATTAAATGCGAATATTCCCTTTTTTTTATTAATCTGTGCATGGTAACAGACCTGTTGCGACATCACGTTGCAAATCTTCATCAAAAAATTTGTTAATTTCACTAACTGTTATTTGTAACTGTTCAATAATATTATCATTCCGCATACTTGATTCCCTTATTTGGTTTTCTAATTGGGCAGATACGTTTTGAGACACATATCCAGTATTTTCCTTTATATCTTTCACGAATCTTGCATGGTTTTTACTTATATCTGAAATTACTTCATGTGCATCCTATAAACATGACACTGCATTTGTTAATGTTTGATACTTCATAATATGTTAAATAAAAAATTTCCTGTATATTTACATTGATTAATGAAAGGGATATATTCTTATCTGAATCCATTTTCAGTTGCTCTTCCTTAATATTACATTCCATATCATTTGTATACTGCTTCGACATATTACAACTTTCATTTATATTTGACTTCAATTCGTTTATTAAATCCTTTCCTCGCTTTGTAATCTCATTTGCAATTTCTTCATTCTATTGACAAAATAAAAATCAATTTTTTTATTCGAATTAATAAAAAGGATTATAATTCGAAAATTACCTGTCTTGTTGTAACAATAACGTTATTTTCAATTTTCTCTATATCCCTTTGTATATAATCTTTTAAATCATTTCTCATTTTAACATTTATATTAGAACTATTTGTTGCTTGAACATTAGCTTCATTACAAATTTTGCTAATATAATCACATTTGTCAATTGTAGCAGAATAATGCTTTCCTTGACTTTTATGTAATTCGTTTGACTGTGAAAATAGATTTCCCATCATCTAAAATACAATAATACTATAATTTTGAAATCAACATTAATATTTTCGGAATCGAATAAAGATATATTCTTTATACTTTAGTAAATAACTGTTGTTTTTCACTAAATTCCTGTTTTTTACGAAGTACTTCAACAGCTTCCATAATACTTTTGATACTTTGGCTCATACGATCATTAATCTCTAATTCATAATTACAAGAAGCATCTATCATTTCTTTTAAAAGAGTCGAAGTTTGTTTTAATTTTTCAGATACATTATTCCTTATGATTTCCAGGTTTTTAGCTATTTCATTTTCTATCATACTGTTGATGCTTTCAACCAATTGCAGAGAAATGACACTCATTAATTCATCTTCAGATTCCACTGTACCAACCACATTTCTTACTTCATTTTGTATCCAATTCTGATACTCTAAATGCTGAGATATTAAAGAAAAACAATAAGTCTTTGTAATTGGAAATCAAAAGATATAGAAATAAAATATGCAACTTGATAAGAATTAACAATACATACAAATTCATTTATATTTTTTGTTAAATTAGTAGTATCTGATTGATTCGAATTGCTCATCGCGTTTCGATGTACTATCGTGTCAATACCGTTACATTTGGTAGAGGTTTCTATATTCAACAGAATAAATAGAAATAAAAATTAGTAGATGGAATATATACGTGAATTTCTATAATGTGAGAAAGTATTTCTTACCGATGTCATTTTTCATTGCTGGAAAAAGTGTCTTTAATCTTTCACCATATGTAGATATATTTTTTTCTATATTTTGCAAACATTCACAAACATTACTTTTCACGGTTCTACCAAGGTCTTCAAATTTTTGTTCTGTTTTACTTGGGAGAAGAAAGACAGCAAAAAAATTATTTCATCATACAATAACATGTAAAATATAAAATATTATGCCTACTAAGAGATTTTTTATGCATTCAAGAATCATAAAATTAGCATTTGCATAGTCAAAAAAACTGTAAATGTAAAGAGACAAACCTTTTCCTGTCAATTTTGTCGTGTAATTTATATGAATCTGTTATTGCTGTATCTGCAACATTTAGCAAAGTCTGAGCCTGATTCAATAAAGATTGTTCTGTATTCATATATCTCTCTACTAAATATTTATGCTCATCTCGTTCCTGCGTTGTTAATTTTAATCGATAATTTGACGACTGTAGAGCTTCAGAGAAATTATTTAATTTAGTCTTAACTTCATCTAATTCTTTTGTCTGGGCAATATTTTGCAATTCAAGTTCATTAAATATTCTCTAAAAATAAAAACAATATACTAAAATTATAGGCAATAAGGTAGAGAAATCAAAACTTTCTTCATTAATAAAGATGTACCTCCTTGTCTTGCATAATTTTCTCAAGCGCTTTTATATGATTAATTTTTTCTTCTATTTCCTTAGTCTGTCGTGAAATTAGTGTTTCCATTTCTCTATAATTATCATCTGCAAGATAAACACCGTTTCTATCACGTGAAGCTAATAAATCTCTTCGCAGCTTTTCAATTTCTTCTGTATATTGTTTCAAAAATTCTCGTTTCGAAAGTTTCTGGTTTATTTCTGGACGATTTGTGATATTTTTTGCACGATGTGCATAATCTAGCGTTGATAATGTTTCCTCAAGGTTAATGCTAGCAGGGGATACTGTTGCGATAATTGACGTTTTTGTCCGACCACCTAATGATTCCTGCAGTAATCTTGTAAGTTTAGATTCCCTACATAATGTAAAAAGTAATAATATAAAGTAGTTATATAACTGATCTTGCTGTAAAAATCAGGATATTTATTTTTGTCACCGGTAAGGTATATGAGGTGCTTTTTCAACAAGAGCTGTTATAACTCTGCCAAGAGTTAATAAAGACTGGTTAATATTACCAGCTTCTCTTGCTCTCCTATCAACAGAGCCAGATCTTCCAATATTTTCGCTACCAGCCAGATCCACTAAATTTAATTTCCCCATTTTCAGAATCTCTTCACCATCTGTATTACCAGTACTTTCTTTCATATGTATAGTAATTGAGAATATAGTATGGGACCGGCTGTAATCATGTTTGGACATTTCATGTGTTGGAACCAATAATATACTTAAAATGTAAACTTATATAATACACAAAATGTTTGCAAACATATACCATCTGAAATAATTAGTAAAATATAGGAGATATGAGTAAAATAACACATTTTATTTTTGTGCAAAGTATAATAACATAGAAGTAACTTTTAACTACAAATTTTCACTTTAACATTATATGAGATAATATAAAAAAATATTCTGCACGAGGATAGAGAAAAAGTTTTTAACTCTTCCTCATATCTCCTAGCACTTAGTGATTATTCTAATATTTAAGCTAACATGCATATTTACAGACATTTCTAATATATAAAAATTAACTTTAGTAATAAAAAAATAATGACCTAGACTGAGTATTCATCAATGTTGCAGCTGTTTGCCTTCTGTCAGACCCTTTCTTAATAATTTTATAAACTTCACTTGCATTGTGTATTGTTACTTCTTCTAATCCATGTATGATTACTGCACCTTTCTTTGATGCATCTTCATATAGCCTATTCAATTATCATTATATTAGATGTGTACGTGTGTATGTATACATTAATCTATCAAAATTTAAATAAATAAAAAAAATTTAACTAAATATTTGAGCATTTCTTTTTAGTTTAAAGAACTTGAATTACATACCTCAATTTACATGCATCATTACTAGATGATAAAAGATCAAATATGTCTTCATTATAGAGTTCAAGAAAACTAACTCTAATTGTATATTCCTGAGTTTCCAGTAGTTGCAATTTGTCAAATAAGTGACTTAAAGAACGTGGTATCATGCCAGCAGACGAGTCCTACAAATTATATAGTCTCGTATAAGTATAAATAATATCCTTTCATATTTTATTTTACACTTTTATATTATATTATTTAATATTTCTTTTCTTTATACTTTACATGATTATTAAATCTATCTTATATGCTTAATAACTGATATTATTTTAGTTTACTATCACTATTGTATTTTATAAAAATATTATTTACTAATACTGACATTTTATATATTATGAATATGTTCATTATCATTATTTATGTAATTTACTATGGAGTACTTTTGGGAAATTATACTTATATATAAATTTCTTGTGTTTATTTCTTTTTTCATTGCTTCATTAAATATTTATAGAAGTTATTACCACTTTATTTATATTTGAAATTTTATATTTCATGAATAGATGAATACAAAAAATATCTTACACTGTGCCAATATAATGTTCGATCATTGTTAATTCCTTCCATTGTGTATGTCTTCCCTGTACCAGTTTGACCATATGCAAATACTGTACAATTATATCCAGCCAATACTTGTTCCAATAATGGACTAACAACGACATTATATACATCGATCTATCAATTGAAAAATATGTAATAAACTAACTTTTCCTTAAATATAGATGTTCATTAGTCATAAATATATACCTGTTTTGACAAAGGTCCAAATACATTATTAAACTTAAATTTTTTAGAAACTTTGTCATTTGGACGTTCATGTATTATTATTTCCCTATTATTTGGAACTTCTAATATGGATGTAGATTTATTGTTTTCCTCAAAATTGCTGATAGGTCTAAGAAAATAAAAATTGGGAAATAAGACATAAGAAACCAAACTTTTCATGTAAAAATAAATTATATTCTAACAACTAATGCTTACATGAATGTATAACTTATATAAATGTTTTAATATCAAAGATTATTTTTTCATATCAATAGCTATTATTACTAAATATTTATTTCGTTTCAGGTCTCTTTCGAATCTTTAGATTTTTACCTTCTTAATTTTTTCGGTATATATGAAACCTTGTAATTTACACATTCTACTGATATTTTATTGATATTAATATCATAATCTTCTAAAACAACAGTTTAAAAAAAAAGACTCAATCACTCACCTAACACGAACAAATACTTGTATCTGCTGACATTTTTCCTTTCTTCCACTCCGTGTGTCGTTCATCTTTATTATTATTTAAATTATGCTGATTTTCGTTGCAATCAAACTACTATGTAAAATGATGCAGATTATTCGTTACAATTTAAACATCAATTTAAAATGTGTAGTACCTCACAAAGTCACTTGGAGCGCTGTTTTGTAAATGCTCTTGCGCTGATTTGTGGCGAGCTAGTAACAGCTTCTATTGCCGCAGAACGGGCAGTGATTGCAATGGAACAAGAGTCGCACACATCGGGCGACAGAAAGCAGACATGTGAATCCGTCTTCAAAGATCAACAGCCCTCTAGAAAATACAAATAAATTTATTGTCAAAATTTACAGTCAAAATTAGTCAAAATTTTAACGAATTACATTATTGAAAAATTTGACTAAATTTAGGTATTAACTAATAAATCTTCCGATTTTTAACTCAATTTTGTTATGAGCTAACTACATGTATTGTTAACTTCTTATTTTAGTAAGTATTTTTAAGGTTACTATCATAAACAACGGTAAATTGTTTTATGAATGAAGAGTTTATATTGTGCATTGATAACACAAGCGAATATATAGGATTATGTTGTGATTTTTATAAAACAGTCTAGAATTCGCGCTTAATTTTTATGGACAATTAAGGCATCTATGCAATGCAGATGCACAGTAATGCAACGATATTATGTGTATGCAACTTAAAGTATGAAAAATTAGAATATGTTATAAATATTTCATGTCAATTATTCTAACAAATACTACTTTTGTTCTTATATACCATCAGTTGTCGTATTTTGCAGGAATAAATTGCATTCTACAATAAATTCACTAATATATATAATCAAGAATTTTTCTACAATATTGTCTGCTGTACGAATTAGGTGACAGATCTGTTTTTGTCAAATAAATATTTTATTCACGTCTATAATATTATATATTTATGACTGTCACACAAAACATTGAAAACATGGCGAAATTGAAACGCGCGATTTGGAATGTTTCTTCCAATTTTGCTGCAAATCGATATTTTTCGCGTTTGTTAACGTAAGTTTTAAACTAATATTTTGTTTATTAATTTATATTACATTTATTTGAATCTCTTTTCATATGAAACAATTTTGATTTGATTATAGAATATGAGATTCATTCATAAGAGGCAAAATTTGACAGTGTTATTTTATGTTTGCAATGAACTGGAAATTAATTTTTGTTTGTAGTTCTCAGTGGTACAATGTGTCTACAGATTCATTATTAAATAAAACAGTAACGGAAAGTGCACTGAAAACCGAAAATGATATCATCATTACAGATAGTTGTGTTCAACGTTTAAAGGAAATTACAGATGATAATGCTTATTTAAGAGTTACAATTGAAGGGGGAGGTTGTTCTGGTTTTCAATATAAATTTGATTTGGATACAAACATAAATGAAAATGATAAGTAAGTGTCATAAAAATAATTCAAATATTTATGTGACTATAGCGTCACTGGTAGCTAATTAAATGCAATGATGTATTACAGAGTGTTTCAAAAGGATGGTGCAAAAGTAGTTATAGATACAACATCTTTAGAATATATTAAAGGATCGACAATAGAGTATCACACAGAACTGATACGTTCTGCATTTAGAATAACTAATAATCCATTAGCTGAACAAGGTTGTAGCTGTGGTGCTAGTTTTTCTATTAAAATATAATTTTCATGTAAATTCAATTGTAAAGAAGTTTAGATGTATGCATAGATATATTTGTTGTGTTAATAAAATGGTTAAGAATATTGTTACATTTTTGTCAAAATTGTAAATTTTCTAATTTATTTGATTATTTTATGTATATCTTACATTTAAGTACTAAAAATGATCTTAGTATATAAATTATACGTTACTAAAAATAATTATTGTCTGTCAGTTGTGAATTGTTAATAATTAAAGTTGCTAATAATTCTGATCGAGATACTCATTTTCCCTATTATCTTTTAAAATTGTTATTATCATTATTATTTTAATTATTTAAAATTATTAAATCGTATACTTACTAATAAAAATAATATTTACAAGACGTAAACAAGATGAAAACAGATGATTCTTGACTATGAGGTTTCGCAAATAACGTTGAATGACTTATAAAATTTTGAATTTCTTTATATTTGTCCTTAAAGTAACTTGTAATTTTTACATATTAATCCAGTGATCCATCTTGGGAGGCTAATTGTTTCGATTGGACTGATGTCACAATTTTTATAAGTTAATGTTTTATCTTCCTATATTGCATTTGTGGAAAAATAATTGACATTAAAAATAAGTTAGATTATCAGCCTAAATTCTACTCTAGACCGTAGACCAAAAAATATATAAATAATCCGAATTCTGCAATTTTTTCTTATGCATCTAGATTCGATAACAAGTTATGTTATTAACTTGTAATAAAAAATTTATATTTGTAATAACGTCTAGTTTTTAAAGGTACATAATATTTACGTTGAATTATAAAAGATTTTTTACAATAATGTTTTACAGTAATGTTTTATAGATTTAAAGCACTTAATAACTAACTTTGATATTCACATTTAATATTTTCACTCTTTTTTTAAATCGATAAAACATTCTTATAATTATAACTTGAAGAATACATTATGAGTGATGCAATAATGTACAAAGCAATGTGATATTGTCCCCAAATATACTGAATCTACATAATGTAAATATTGAACAATGTATGTATATGTATGTTACAGGCGAAGTCGATCTTGCTCGGGCAATATCAGCATTACACACCGCATATCGCTGTCTGGCAAAGACAGGGTAAATAATTCAATGGCGAACATGGTCTAAGTCCAAGGATTACCTATCTCACCATTGAGTGGACAATGTCGGAAACTATTATTTATTTGAAATGTAAAGTCGGTATTGTGCATAATGATAAATCCATGTGGACAGTTTTATTCATCCCACGTCTTTGCCAGGGCTGACATTGCCCAGACAAAACCGATTTTGTATGTCTTGCAGCCTTCGCCCGTAACATATATATAAAATAAAGAGCCAATTTCATAAAACAAAACTGATGAATATACATATATAATAATAAAAATAAACATACATACATACATATATCAGTTGCAATGTCTTACATAAATTATTATTAAAAAATTACATTATATATATATATATATTCTCTGCTATGGTAATTAAATATCACTATATTTTGGCCTTAACAAAACCGTTTTAATTTCTATGAAATTGACTTTCACTTGTAATATGTCATTTAATACAAATAAATGACATGTATATACTCATATATATACAATGAATTATAAAATTGTTGGTAAAGACACAAAAAAATTATGTTTTATCTTTTTATTAACATTTTGTCTAACGTTTAAAATAAGTGACAAGCAACTGACAGAATGTTATATGTAGTTCTACGCATATTATATGCAGACATATATTATGCGCGACATAGTAAAAAGATTTATATTTAATTACTCAAACTATGCTCGACAAAATTCATAAGAAATGTCCGAAGGTTGCTATAATTATTACAATAATCAAATCTGTTTTATGTATCTTATTAATATTTAACATATGTATCGTATATATGTATTATTGTAATAATACACTAATGTTTAATATTTTTACATTATATTTAGTATTTTACAAAATTAGAGTATTTTGTACTTTTATATGATCTTTTAATTAATGTTTTTCGAGTAAATTTATGTCTACCAATAATTTTATAATTTATTGTATAATCTTCATTATTATCTAAGAATCTTTATTAAGACAACATTTTTTCATCTAAAATTGACGCACTTGATGGCACAATTACTAGAAGGAAATCATAGATTAAGCTTATTTATTATATATATTTTACCAATGACATTAAAATTTAAATTCTAAAAGATTCTATTTAATTGATAGATACAATAAACTTTCGTTTTTCCTATATCATAAAATTATGTTTGAATAATTACAGGAACAAGATTTATTAAAATTTACAAAATATATTATATATAACTAATAAATATAATGTTTATTTATACCTTGTTGTCATGATATTAAAATTTTAAGAATTAAGTTTGTTTTTGGTATTTTAAAAGTACGTAATTTTTACTTACCAAGATTTAATGACTTTAGGGCTCACAAAAAATTATAGATACGTATTTGTTATCTTTTCTTTGTTTCTTTGGCGAAAATAATTCAATGTTTGAAGTGTGGTGATTCAAGTATTCCAAAAATTGGATAAACGGAAGTTTACTGCATTAGTTATATAAAACCATATTGCTAAAACAAATTTTTAGTCACCTTTAATTATTAAAGGTAATTATCAAGTATTATTACGATATTTATAAATATAGTATGAGTATCGTAACATTCTGAATTTTAAATTCCTTTGCACGAATTGTTGCATTCTTACCATGCGTCAAAAAGATTTTTCTTTCTTCTCATATATTTTAATCGATATAATTAAATAATATTTAAAAAGATGTTTCTTAGATATCTTTGCTGGATACGTAACATAATGATGTTACGTCATCAAGCGCGTAAAGGTACTACAATGTTTCCTTAATAAATAAATACTTTAACTTTTATTAATAGAACATAAAAAAGCTAAAGATTATTTACGGAAATAATTTGGTTGATCCAACCAATGAACGCCGAAACTTTGACATAAACTCCAGGAACATCCAATCTTCCGCAGCCAAAACCCCATGACACCAGTCCAGCTAATTCGTAGAATCCGTCATCTTGACATACTAAAGGACCTCCACCGTCGCCCTATCAAATATTAGCTTTTGCAATTATTATACATAATTGTTTAAGTGAAATATAAACAGTGCTTTTGCTTGTATTAACTTAACCAATAAAATATACTACTATATTTGCAAATAAATAGTAAATATCATGAAATGTACGAACTATTATTTTTTTCATTTCTCATCTATGTAGAAAATATCTTTCCATTCTGTTTAAAAAAAGTAAAAGTCATTTCACTTTATCACGTAGGAATTGTATCATTATCACAGAATTTGTATTATTTTATACAGTTATTGGTTACCTTTGTTAATATCTAATTGCGCTTGATTAATAAATGAGCCATAGATGAATATCGTATGTGGTGTACACTACTACTATCAGCTATATTTGCAATCGATTTTGTGAGTTATTTTCGCGAATACGGAGATTTCACTGTATGGTATGTATATATATAAAACAGAATTAATATTACCTGACATGCGTCGTTTCCTTGTTCGCCACCAGCGCAAAAACTACTTGCTGGCAAAATGAAAATTTTTTCAGTTACGGCGTTCACTTTACGTA